AGCACTGCCCCTGTGCCTCTTTGTGTTGAAAGCTAGCACTCTACCACTTGAGCCATAGCACCACTTCTGGATTTTTTGAGTAGTTTATTGGAGATAAGAGTCTCATGGAGACTTTTTCTGCCCAGACTGGCTCAGATCTCAGCCTCCCGAGTAGTTAGGACTTACAAGTGTGAGCCACTGGCTCCCAGCCTATATCTATTTTAATGCAGCAAACTAGAAGAATAGACCCAGTCTAGAAGAGAACACAATTGTCTAAGAAACACCTATTTTTTACTCTACTGGATAACACAGAGAAGATAAAACATTTAACAAAAGTCAGTGTTCATAGTTCTAAAATACAGTATGTTGTAGAGGAAAGAACAGGAAATTTCAATTCTCATTAATGCGAATTCAGATATCAACCCCCCTACTTGTGTCAATTTGCACAAGTACATAATTTCTATGACATTTTCTTTCTCTTTTTCTTTCTTGTGTGTGTGCCCAACCTGGGGCTTGAACTCAGGATCTGGATGCTGTCCTTCAGCTGCTTGGCTCAAGGTTAGCACTCTACCACTTTGAGCCACAGCTTCACTTCTAGTTTTTTGGTGATTAATTGGAGATAAGCGTCTCATGGACTTGGCTGCCTGGGCTGGCTTTGGACGGTGATCCTCATTTCTTAGCCTCCCAGGTAGCTAAGTTTACAGGTGTGAACTGCTGTCCCTCAGCTTACTTTACTTTTTAGTAAGTGAAAGAACTAATGCCCAATGGAATAAGGATTCAATGTGGCACAAAGCCAAGGCCCTGAGGGGAATTAGGGCATATCAGTCATACATAATGTTTTGTACAGAAGTTCTAAATCATCAGATAGAAACAAATTAATTTTTTGCCAAAAATTATCATCACTTGTTATTAGTCAATAATTAAAATTGCTTATTCATCCACTCATGGACTAACAAATACATCTCCTCCTTTTTTTTTTTTGTCAGTTGTGGGGCTTGAACTCTGGGCCTGGGCGCTGTCCCTGCACTCTTCAGCTCAAGGCTAGCACTCTACCACTTGAGCCACAGCGCCACTTCCAGCTTTTTCTGTTTATGTAGTGCTGAGGAATCGAACCCAGGGCCTCATGCATGCAAGGCAAGCGCTCTACCACTGAGCCACCTTCCCAGCCCTATATCACCTCCTTTCTATCTCAACATTTACCACCTTTTACCAGGTAACAACCCCCAGATCTCTGAAATGCCTACCTTCTTCCTATTGGCCCACTACTGTTGCTTTCATTTTCCTTATGCTTTAATTTTTAATTATCTATACAACATTAGTTTTACGAGGAAGAATGTTCATTGTGACATTTTCACACATGTCCAACTCATTCCCATCAATGACACCTCCCCATCACTCTTCCTTCTTAAAACAATTTCAACAGCATACTTTAGCACTTCATGGATAATCATTTTAAAGTTGCTTTTGCATCTACCTTAAATCTTGTCATACCTCTTTATTTTCTCTATACCTGTCTGGCCAATCTATAAACTCAAAAGAACCAACAATCCATTTTCATTGACTGCAGACAGACACCTAAGAACAGTGAAGTTAAACCCTACACTGGAACAGATGGAAACTATGTTAGGTATCTAATAAGCTCATTGGATTCCCCGTTAGAACTATCACTTTTCTTTATGTGCTTGATCTCCCTGCCATCACATTTCTTTGTATAGTAATTTCTGTGTGTGTATGTGTGTGAGTGGGTATGTGTGTGAGAGAGCATGCACATGTACACATGCAATAATACTGGGTCTTGAACTCAGAACTTCTCAAACTTACTTGGGCTTTTTCTTGAGCCATGCCTCAATTCGATTTCTTTACTTTCATAAATATGTACTCTAGTCTTTTTTGAAATGGGGTGAGTCTGCTTGGCTTCTAAAACCCAACTGATAGAGCAAAAGCCTTCTGACCTTACCACATTCCTATTGTCACTGTCTTAAAACTCGTAAAACTTAAATTTGTTGTCAAATTTTAATACTCTTTATTTTATTCTCAGCTATAGCAATATTTCCATTTTTAAGTGTAACTTAGAAGAGTTCCATGTGAACCAAAAAAATTTAACACATGAAGACATGATTTGAACTTTTAGTAACATAATAAAATTAGCCTTTCAGTCGTGATTTTTTTTTTAATTTGTTCTGTCAGGATGTATGGTGGCTCACTGCCATACCCTCCCATCTGTGAACATGCCTCTCTCAGGTAGCTGGGGAGATGGAGACTAGAGCTTCCTGGTGAAGCATTTCATAGGGTTTTGTTTTTGTTAAATGCTTGTCTTCACTCACAGCTCAATTGTTTTCATTCTGGGTAATTCCTTAAATACACAGACAGACAAGCCAGATACACGCAGAGACAACCACATATTTACATAAAGCTGCTTTTGTGCTTTGGAGAGATCTTTTTCAAACATCTCTCTCATCTTCTTATTTTCTTGCCACCTTATTTTATTTATAAGATAGTGAATGACACTGTTATAGACACTGAAGGTAAGAATAGTCTGGTTAAATCTTAAGCCCTAAAATGGAATGAAAAAGTAGCAACATCTCGTAAGTTTATGTTCTCTGTGTTCACAATCTCATGTTCATTGTTTTCTGTATCAATATACCTTTTTATCAAGCAGAATTTGAGATAAATAAAATTCTTATGCCAATAAAGAAAACTCTGCCCCTTTTCATACTATTTTAATCTCCTTTCATTGAGTCAAGTCTATGGTTAAGTAACATATTTATGTTATTTTTTTCAAATTACCTTGTAACAGGTGAACAAAATATAAAAATAAAATTGTATTGGATATTTGCTTTGAATAAAGCATACTGTTTACTGGTCAGTCAAGCATCCCAGCCTGCTATGGGGATGGAGGAGTCATTAAAGTCCTTTGAAGACTTGAAGTTCAAACTCAGGCAGAGCCAATTATACCCATCAGTCCATTCAACTCTGTACATGATGCAGCAATCCTGAACAATGGGGTCATAAAAGGTCTTGGAGATGTTTGTGTAAGGTCTAGGGTTTTTAGACCAATCTGGATTCACATCTATCTCCACTCCTTAGCAGCTGTAAAACCATGTGATATGTTTTCACATCTGTCAATGAAAGATATAATGAAAGATATAATATTTGTCTCACATGGTGTTATGGGGAGTCCCTAAAATAGTAAATACTAAAGATCTAGATCAGAGCTAGAAAGTACACAAAAACAACCATACATCAATATGCATGGCTTTCCCAGCATAACCACCAAACCTAATTATTTTTGTGAATGAGAAAGAGTTTGTAATGCTAAAGAGAATTTAATGATGAAATAAATAATGGGATTCAAATGTTGAATTTTTTTTTGTAGGTTGTTGGGCTTGAACTCTGGGCTTGGGCACTTTAAAATACAGATACAATTTATTGAGAATAAGATGGTGTATTGACCAGTTAACCAAAGACAGACTAAATGTTTCTTGAAGTAGTATAACACTTTATTTTTATTGGACAATGACACTTTAGAAAGAAATAAACTAGTTAGATTCATACATCACTTTATGAGCTCAGAATTGGACTTAGATGTCTAAACATTTGAATGTAAAGACAGTGATATCAGAAGAAATGTTTAGATTATTAAATATATTTTAAGTGGAAAAAATTGAGCTATGCAGATATAATCTTTTAAAAGGTAGATAAGTGTGATAACATAAAACTTTTAAATGTTTAGAATGCAAAGCACAAAGTCAAGTAAAATAATTGGAGTTATTTTTGACAGCACAGATGACAAGAAAATAGTAATTAGTATATGAAGAACTATTATAAATCAAATTTAAAGTACCATATTTTATAATTGGCAAAAATAATGACTTCTGAAAATTCAATGCAAATGAACACTAAATATTTAAAGATGTGCTCACCCATATTTATGAATTTAAAAGGTAAATCCAAACTATAGTTTGTTATTTGTCAACATTCAAAATGTTAGATGCCATTCTGGTGATATTTTGTAATTTAGCTATGTATGATAAAGTAGGCTATCCATTCACTTGCTTTACTTGTTAAATTGCTTTAATGAAATTTAGAATGTTAATACAAAACTCTATATGTATTTACACATAATCTTCTCTGGTGACTTATTTGTTGGTATGTTGGCCCACATACGTAAAGCTTCATATATTCAAGAATTTTCACTCCAGGATTATCTACACGTTATTTTTTATACTCCTTTATAATCCTAAATATGCATGATAAATTCTAAACTGAAAAGGCTAATCAGATTCTTGATATGGAAGCTCGTAGCCAATGACGTGGACAGGAAAGAATTACAATGTATACATTTGGAATGACTTGCAAGTTTTATTTTGAGGTTAAAAATTGGTGCTTATAGCTAGGGGTCAGTGGCTCACGCCTGTAATCCTAGCTATTCAGGAGGCTGTGATCAAGGATCACATTTCAAAGCAAGCCCAAGCAAAAAATTCTTATCTTCAATCAACTGCTCAGAAAAAGCCACAAGTGGTGCTGTGCTCAAGTGGTAAAGTGCTAACCTTGAACTCAACAGCTCAGGGACAGCACCCAGGTCCAGAGTTCAAGCCCCTGAACCAAAAATAAATAAATAAATAGTATTTATTGTAGATTCCATTATACAAATATAAACAATTATAAATGTGGCTATAACATATATTTCAAAACTTTTCTGAAAGAAATTTTCTCATAGTGAGTAGAATAAGAGATAGAAATGTGGGAATCCCAAGAAAGGGAAAACAATGCTCCTTAATGCCTTCCTGAATGAGCTGAAATGTTCCTCTATTCTTACGTATGTTTTACTTTAAAAAACAAATTCAGTTAATGTAATGATGAAATATATGGATTAAAATATGCTACACTTAAAGATTACTAGGAGCTCTGAAACAGATAGCCACTATGTGATTTTGAGAGTAACCTATCACAACATGACATTCCTGAGATGAAATGATGCATTTGTTGGCATCTAATGAGTTTTCTTTCACTTCCCCCAGACAAAGCCAAAGGAAGGTCGAGAGCAGGCACCCACTTTGAGTCAGCCCGGAGAAGAAGCCGAGCGGTCCTTTATCACATCTCCGGACACCTGCAAAGAAGAGAAAAGAACAAATTGAAAATAAATAATGTAGGTGGAATGTGTACACATGGTGAATGCTAGAGTTTCCCTTGATGGCCATGCTGGATTCACTAAAGAACAGCTCCAATTACTCATTTATTGGCTCTCTTAGATTATTTTTTTCTACTATGGCTTGTGCTTGCTTATAGAGAATGAACTGAGAAAGGCCAGTGGTCATAAACGCAGTGTAAAATAAAAGTTCTTAATCATGCAGTTATCACAGCCCAGAGATTAGAGTATTATTGCAGTGCAGTAATACATGGAAAACAGACCCTGCTAATCAGGACATACTGGCTGCGCTGTATGAAAGAATGGATGTGGCAAGTCACATTATACATCCAGAGTTTGTTGGTTTAAATTCCTTGAATTTAATTGTAGTTGCATCTATTTTGCCCTTTATGAACAAAAATTCATTACTTCATTTAGAAGTTCATATTATGTACAGAACGCAATTGGTAATCCCCAGAGTGAAACCATAACTCTGAAATTACATGCCATCCCTTTCATAGTTCCTTAAAAGGTTGTGCTTTTAGTAAATTAACATCAAGTTCCCTATCCCTGTCTATCCCTATGGGAAAAAAATTTTTGTTTTAAATAAGGACTTTACTTTCATGAAGAATTCCAGATCAAGGCCTATTTAGTTGTAGATGTCCAAAGCTAGCTTTTTTTTTTTTTTTT